AAACAAAAATGCAGTTCCGTAACAATCTTATATTATCATGCTTACAGCAAGCTATTTAATGCCCTCTTCCCATAGAGTCCATCCGTCTGAAACGATTGGGATTTTTGACAAATGTGAAACTCCGATTCCCACAGAGCACATCCACCATCCACCATCCGATAACAGCTGATCTGAACAGCTGTGGCTCATTATTTTAGCCGTTGCATTTTGCACAACATTTAAAATGAGCACAACAGCGTTATAAATGATACTTGGTAACAGACTGCAAGTGATCTACGCGAACAATCAAATCGAACTAATACGTCTGCAGATTTTTGCCAGCCTGCAGACAAAATATGAACAGCTATTGCCCAATATTGTCTAAATGGTAACAAATCAAGTTCATTATATATAAATGTTTGTTTTTTGTTTTATTATAATTTCATATTTTATTTCATTTTAAATGTTCTGCTTAATGTTGTGAGTAAGGTATGCGCCTAGGAAAGAGTGGAGCAACACCTAATGCTGCCACACGGATGGAGCAGTAATTAATTAATTATTTCAAGTATAAACTGCATTTTTTGAATTGGCGCCTTCCTGTTCAAAAGTTGAATGTTACAATTTCCACTGTCAAGAAGAAGACTCAGAGTTGCACCAAAAAAACATCGCCTAACTAACGCATAAAAAAGTCCGTCAAATTTGGATGGGGAACTAGCTGGGAATTTTCGGAACGGCAACCTTATGGACCATCCGTTCAATGGATGGTGGATGGTGGATGGAGCTCTGTGGGAAGAGGGCATAAAGCCGGTGATCCTAGAGCCTAGTTCTCAGATCGCTGAAAACTGTCTGCCAGTCACGAGAGAGAGCGAGAGGCAAACAGCTGGCGTACACTTTTCGTCAGGCTTTTCTTTCACTTTGGTAATCTCCTAGGTAATTTTTAGGTCAAAAATGTACGAAAAAACACAATAAAAGTGCAACTATAAACTTTAAATTAGCAAATAATTATCAGTAAATTAAAAATAAACTGTTAAATTTAAATTGTATTGTTTTTTAATTTATTTGTACAGTGACAGTTTTGTCTTGCCAAGGTAGTTGATAATATCTTTTAAAGGCTCTTTCCCGCAAATACGATATTTGAATTTTAACTGCTTGTCAACAAACCCAGCTGACTGACAGTACGACCGTAGCACGCTTAATTCTGATGAACTCTCGAAATTTTGGTCACACTGGAAAAATTAAAGTTTTTACGCTAGCGTACTCGTTTGTGGATCTGAGTATTGGGCTTAAACATCGATGAAACATTGATGTTTTTCACCAAAAAAATACCTTTTCCTTATTTACATAAAGTGCATTCCGCTATTGTAATATCAATTATATTGGATTCTTGAGCTGGGAAGTGTTCGAACATTGGGGGTACTCCGCCTTGGTCATCTTAGCTAGAGGATGTCTACTAGACTTCTGCATGAATGTACTCAAATGTAGCATAACAGATCTGTACGGTAGTATGGTGTTCTTAAAAATACTGCACTAATTCTTTACTGTACAGTATACTCTATAGGCCAGAAGAAAACAACATTTTCAGTGTACTCACTTCGAGTGAGAACAGTATATGGTTGTAGTCTTCGTGAGTAAGTACAGCATTTGTTCTTTTTTAAACACGCTGTACAGCTTGTGTGTTGAGTGCAGTCAAAAATTGACACCACTGAAGACATGATAAATAAAATAATGTTCCTTCATTCCAATATTAATAACTTATATATAGATTCTTTAATAACATAAAATAATTGTTGTAATTAGTTTTAATTAAAATATTAATAATTTCTAAATTTTTTATTTTATAATAAATACATTTGAAATGAAAATACAAATCAATTTTTAATCGTGTTCTTTCTATGACATACATACCCACGAGATCTATATATGTGTGTATGTACCAGTCATGAAATTTACCTTACTGTACAGTAAGTATACTGAAAACCAAAACACTGTACAGTGCGTTGACTACGGCACACCAAATTTTCTGTACTCATCAACAGCTGTACAACTATGGAATGAGTGAGAACACAGTCAATCAAAACAGACAATACTACCCTACTCACTCACACCCAAATATACTGTGCAGAAAAAAAGTGTGTCTGTTTAGACTAAGGTATTCATTTGTCGTTTTGGATGCATTCATGCAGAAGTCTAATGTCTACCCAAGAAAACATGTAATCAGTTCCACTCTTTAAAGTCTTCGTAAATAAACAAATTTATCATTTAGTAATAAATAATTAACTATGGATAAGGCATAATAATATCTAATATCCATTTGTGTTCCAAACAAGCAACATTATCATTACATTTACTTATGTGCTCTTCACTGCCTTTAGTTTCATATCGAGACAGATTTCAATTGCGAAACGCAATTACTAACAGCAGTTTTTTATCTTGATTTTGCTAGGGTAGAGAACGGTTGTTATCCGATAGCAATATGTCAGTTTCCTATGCTAAGCCAATGCAAAAATAAACGGTCTGGCTTTAAACTATTACCCGGCGCAGTACACAGTATAATAGATGGGAACGATCAGTTAATATTGCAATGAAGAGGTAAATTGTAAAAAATATGGAACACATTCTTAAGGACTGCATCCCATTAAGCGGAATTTTATGAGTTAGGAAAAATACGCCGACAGTGCATGAGATGTTCGCACATGGCAAAGATCTAATTGCAATTGGAAAGCTTTTTCCTGATGAAATTTTAATCAAAGCAGAGGCCAAATAGGGAGTAAATATAATTTACAAACGTTTAAATAAATGTAAAACGATACTACAAAATGTTTGCTGTTGCAAATGAGTTGGTATGTTTTTTTTTAATTTACATTCAACATATTGCCTTTCGAAACGTATGTGACATTTGACATTTGTGAAATCGACTCCACGGACCACATCCACCTTTCCATAACAGCTGATCTGAAAAGCTGTGGATAATCATTCTAGCCTGTTGCGTGTGGCACAACATTTAAAATGAGCACAACAGCGCTATAAATGATACTTGATAATGTCGTATTCCCACAAAGATCCATCCACCATCCGTTGAACGGATGGACCATAAGGTTTTGCCCAGTTAGTTGCCCATCCAAATTTGACGGACTTTTTTATGCGATAGTTGGGCGATGTTTTTTCAGTCCAACTCTGAATTCTTCTTCTTAACAGATAAAATCACTACGAAAATTTAAAAAATAGTGGCGTGTAAATTTTGAAAAAGGAAGGCGCCAAATCTATAAATCTTGTTTATGTCATAATTAATTAATTACTGCTTCATCTGTGTGACAGCATTAAGAGTTGCTCCACTCTTTCCTAGGCGCATACCGTACTCACAACAGAACACCTTAGAGAACGAGAGTATGTCCCCAGACTTATATTTGTGTTTTACAATTAACAAATAAAATAGATTTATTGTACTAGGGAATACTTTGTGAAGGTCTTAGATGTGGACCCCGATGACATTGAAGCTTTTTCAGCGGAAGTCAACGCTCAGGCACCTCTGCGGCCCCTGCAAAACACCAAAAGTGGACCGGACCACGAGTCCGAGCTTGTGGAGATAGCGCTCCAGAAAGGCTGGAGGAGCATCGAGCGCAGATCAAGATCATGTCATTGATGCAAGGGGCTTAAATGATGAGCCACAGCTGTTCTGGTCAGCTGTTATCGGATGGTGGATGTGCTCTGTGGGAATCGGAGTTTCACATTGGTCAAAAATCCCAACCGTTTCGAACGGATGGACTCTAAGGGAAGAGGGCATTAGTCTCATTATTTGTTCTCATTCCCATATCCCATTTACGGGATGATAAATTCGATACATTTTTACGGTACGGAAAATGACTTTACGTTCTTTGCATAATTTGGCTTATTTTGCCATTGAATCCAAAAATGTTGGCGGGAAACTATTTGCATCTTCACAATGGCCTATAATTTCCTTTGAACCTTATTTTCTTTGAACCTGAGGCTTAGTTCGGAGAACAACACTCTCCCAGGCAGTAATTTGGATGCAGAATGGTGGTAGGCCAAAGAGTGTTTAGCGTTTCTATTAAACAGTTTGATAGAGTTAAATTAAGCCAAAATAATGGTAACTGCAGTGAAAACTGTTGTCAGCTGTATGTGGATGGGGCTCGGTAAACTAGGAGTTTCAAAACTTTCAAAAATCCCAACCGTTCCGCTCGGAGGGGATCTGTGCGATTAGGGTAAATAAATCTCAAGGCAGAAATTTGTGTACTGAACATTTCTAATTCTTTTAAACCTTAAAAGTTTTAAAAGTTATATAGTAGAAAAATGTACATTAATGTGCCCTCTGACAATGGATTTCAATTGTTTGTGGCCCTAAATAGGCCAAATATTGCATAGACATGTGCGGCTAATCCTTAGGTATTGTGATTTTAAATCACCAACGCTTATTTAAAAGTTTTTAAAATAATAATAATAATGATAATAAAATAAATTATTAGGACTTCAAACATATTGAACTTAATGACAAGGAGATAAAAAAAAGGAAGAAGAACTACAGATCTTTCATATATGAACAAACTTATTATATAACATTTCATAGTAGTAAAGAATATTCTATAAGGCATTTTTTTGGATTGAGCATATAACATTAAATTCTTCTGTCCTGCCAGCAGAAATGGCGTTAATCAAGTAAATAACAGTTTTTATAAAATATTTATATAGCACTTAAATCGTAATGCAGATTACCACGTTCTAGAATATGCATGTGTAATTTAAAGAGGGTGCAAATGCGCCCCGGTCTGACTAGAACATAACAAAAACACATTATTGGTGTTGTTTGAAATGATTATCTCTTGTCACTACAATTTTGTAAGATTATTTTATTGTTTATGGATTTGAATTCAACTAAAAGAGATTTATGTTAAACTGAGATTTCATTCTGGGATTATATTTGGTTGAAATATATATATGTGAATGCAATGTATACACTCTTTATGTTAAATAAATATATGTAGAATTCAAATTTTTTGCCGCCTATTAATCGGTCATTCCCGATTTGCAACACTACATAATTTTCAAAAAGTTGGCTGAAAGTGGCATCTCCGCGGAGGTAGCCATTTTTCTTTCTTTTCTCAACTTCACGACCGCGTGGACGTCGATACGTAAAAGGTTAGTGAATATTCCGTAGAATTGCTAAAAAAAAATATAAAAGTGCATGGAACTCAGTGGTTTTAGTTGTTACGCATTGTTTTTTGAAGAAAAATCTTTCTAAAGCTCCAATTTTTTGCAGGGGACTACACCAGGCAAAATGACCAACTCGAAAGGTTACCGCCGCGGCACTCGAGATATGTTCTCCCGCCCCTTCCGCAAGCATGGTGTCATTCCACTGTCCACTTACATGCGTGTCTTTAAGATCGGTGACATCGTGGACATTAAGGGACATGGGGCCGTACAGAAAGGTCTCCCCTACAAGGCGTACCACGGCAAGACTGGTCGGATTTTCAACGTTACGCAGCACGCCGTTGGTGTAATTGTAAACAAACGAGTTCGCGGTAAGATTCTCGCCAAGCGGGTCAATGTGCGCATCGAGCACATCCACCACTCCAAATGCCGCGAGGATTTCCTGCGTCGCGTGAAGGAGAACGAGCGCCTGCTGAAGGAGGCCAAGGAGAAGGGGCAATGGGTTAGCCTAAAGCGCCAGCCCGAGCAGCCGAAGAAGGCGCACTTCGTCAAGAAGCTGGAGGAGCCAATCGCTCTTGCTCCAATTCCATACGAGTTCATTGCCTAAGCTAAGTTTCTTTGGCTTTCAAATTCTGTAGTGTGGTTGATTCAGCTATAAAAGAATTGGTAAACAACAAGTTTCGAACTTTTCACTTCTGGAGTTGGGATTGCTGTATGCAGCTTGTGGTCTTCTACATATAAACCGCTTTATTCTGTTCTATCCCCTTGGTGAATTTTTTGTTGTATATTTTCCAATCCAATGGCATTTCTTTTTAGTATCTTAAAAGCAAAAAAGAAAAAATTCTGGCTTTTAAAACTACCAGGTTATATTTACCAAAGAAAAATTATTCGCTGTTAGACACGTTAAATACCATCTGAATATTTTCAGTGCTTTAATTGTTTTTGTTGTTTTCAAGTTATAGTATCATCAAGTATAAAGTTCAAAGTCAAAAATCGGAAAAAAATAATCTTCGATTGAAACGGATTTCTTAATGATTAACATATGAATGGGTAAATGAAGACGTGGGGCTCGGCGATAGTGTCGGTAAAAGTTCAAAGCTGTGTTTTGTGGCTCGCAGCTAATTTCGTGCAGTTAGCAACTGAAATTCATGTAGGTAATGCTGCTAAACTGATAAACAAAAATCATAAAAAATTTAATTTAGTTATTTATTCAGTATTAACTATATTAACTATTATTAACCATCGATCTTTAAATATAATAACTAATTAAAAAAAAGGAGTAACTAGCTACTGTGGCCATCAACTCAAAAAAAAAAACAAAAATATTATTTAACAGAGGAAGATATTTAGCAAAAATTACCTAAAATCTTAGAAGAAAGCAAAAAAATTGCAGTCGGGACCACTAAAAAATTAGTTTTCCCCATGGGAAATCGTCTCAGAGGTGTTCTGAACCAGAAAGGAGGCCACACAAAATATAGCCTGTAAAATGAGTAACAAGAAAGTAAACCCTTGCAGTTATTACAAAACAACTACATTTCCATGCATATGCCTAAATTATTAAAAACAATGAAGCTATGTCGATTTTGCGCTACATCCTCTTTATGGTAAGTATAGTAAATAATTACTATACCTCAAAGTAAAATTTTGATAAATATTTTTTTGTATTTTCCTATAAGAGCTATATGATATAGTTGTTCGATTTTAATTTAATTAAATCCCTAATTCCATAGTATTTAAATATTACCAAATCCCAAACAAAAAAAATTAAAAACAACAAAGTTATTCTTTTTTAACATAGTCGCCCGATCCGGCTCGGGCTACTAATAGATTTGGCTAGATCGACTCTCCTGGTGATGCTGATTGACATAAACTTGCAGAGTTTCATGTCAATTGCTTTTATACTGCAAAAATGTCATATAAAAATAGAAAAAAAGGATATTTTCGCAGCCTTTAACAATTTTTTCCTACGGAAGCTATAAGATATAGACGTCCGATCGGCAAGCGCTTTTACCCTAATCAAGATATGCGTAAATAAATAAGACTTGAAAAAATTTATGTCAGTAGCTTACACACTACGCGAAAAATTCAGAAATTCATCAAATTTGGTCCGATTTCACCCTGTTGTTCCTATGGGAGCTATAGGATATAGACGTCCGATCGTCACGTGCTTTTACCCTAATCAAGGTATGCATAAAAAAATACGATTTGGAAAAATTCATGTCAATTGCTTATATACTGCTCGAAATTTCCTAAAAATCATCAATTCATGCAAGATATATCCGATTGTTCCTATGGAAGCTATAGGATATAGACGACGGTCGGGACAATTTTCAATTTGGATCTGCGTACACATGTTTTAGGAAGATTGTGAAAGTTTCAGATCGCTAACTGAGCTCGCAAACGGTATTGAAACAGACGGACATGGCTATATCGACTCCCCTATTGATCCTGATGAAGAATATATATACTTTATGGGGTCGGAAACGTCTCCTTCACTGCGTTACAAACTTCTGCCCAAAATATAATACCCTCTGCAAGGGTATAAAAAAAATTTTTCCGAGGACTTTTTTGGGAAGGAAAGAAATATTCGATTGAAACGAAACTTTCAGGTTTTATTCTAATATATTTTAATAGTCTTCTCAAATTTTTGCATTAAAATATGTCACATTATGCCTGGTACAAGCATTTCGCGGAGGCGCCTCGAGTGTGCTTGTTTTGTGCGGGAAAGATGCAAGTCGCAAATTTCTATCAGAAAAAAAATTGAAAAAATTTTCTATTTTCAATAGTATAGCATCTAGTCAAACCAACAAAATTTGAACAAAAAGTGAATAATTCTAAAAAATTTCGCAAAATGCACTTCGGATTGTTTAAAAAGTGGGTTAATCATAATTTTTTTTTAAGTTTTTTAGGTTCAGCTTGAAGAGAATTTAATGCGAATCCCTATCTTTCCCGCCAGTAGGTGTACTTACTTAAAAAAAACCAGAAAGGAAAGCTAACTTCGGGCGGAGCCGAAGTTGATATACCCTTGCAGAATACTCTGTAAATTATATTCTCCAAAATTATTCATATGATGCATTCTTAATACTCATAAAAAATCCCAATTTCCTAACTTTACAAACACCAAAGTTATGGCATTTCCGATCAAGCAGTTATATGGCAGCTATAGAATATAGTCGTCCGATCCTTAAGAAATTTTGTAGGTCGGATTGATTGGCCAAATATAAAACCCATAGGAAATCCCAGCTTCCTAACTTTACAAACACCAAAGTTATGGCATTTCCGATCAATCAGTTATATGGCAGCTATAGGATATAGTCGGCCGATCCTTATGAAATTTAGTAGGTCGGATTGATTGGCCAAATATAAAACCCATAGTAAATCCCAGCTTCCTAACTTTACAAACACCAAAGTTATGGCATTTCCGTTCAATCAGTTATATGGCAGCTATAAATAGTGGCCGGCCGGCCGTTCCGACATATATACTGCGTGCAAAGGAAAGAAGGGTGTGTGCAAAGTTTCAATTCGATATCTTTAAAACTGAGGGACTAGTTAGCGTAGAAACAGACAGACGGACAGACAGACGGACAGACGGACATGGCTATATCAACTCAGGAGGTGATCCTGATCAAGAATATATATACTTTATATGGTCGGAGATGTCTCCTTCACTGCGTTGCACACTTTTGACCAAAATTATAATACCCTCTGCAAGGGTATAAAAATGTTAGGATAGCGAGACAAAAAAAGTCTACGTAATTGTAATATATCTGCTCTTCATTTTTTGTTAGCATGCCCATTTAAATGAAGTCACTCCAAAAATAATAGTAGACATCGCAGTTAATTTTGCATATAAACATATATAATAAATTTTCAAAGTCTGTGAATGCATTCGTCACTTCAAAATAAAAACTGATGTATTTTGTTTTCTACTAAGGTTTAGTATCAAATAATGTGACTTTTTATAAGCAAAGAAGAAAGAAGGCAAACTATATACCCTTGCAGTTATTACAAAACGACTACATTTCGATTTCTATGCCTATATTACCAAAAACATTTTGCATTTTGCCATCGTTTCTATGGCAGCTATATGATATTGTTGGCCGTTTTTGACAAAACCAAAAGCGTAATTCTAATATAATAAATAATTACTATATCTCAAAAGAAAATTATGATAAATAAAAAAAAAAGAAAAAAACATTTTTTTCATTTTAATTTTTTTATTTTCCTATGGGAGCTATATGATATAGATGTTCGAAATTAATTTAATTAAATCCGTAATTTCAAAATATTTAAATATTACCATATCCCAAGAACAAAAAAAAAATTAAAAACAATAAAGTTATACTTTATTAGCCGATCCGGCTCGTTTCTTCTTATATACTACTATACTATTTATATAGACTTGGCTAGATCGACTCTCCTGGTGATGCTGATTAAGAATATATATACTTTATAGTGTCTTCTTCACTGCGTTGCAAACTTTTGACTGAAACTATAATATCCCGTGCAAGGGTATAAAAACAGAATTTGCTGCTATTTTGTTACCGCCACTGTATGTCTATAGCAGCGAATTCAGATTCTTTCCTAAAACTACTTAACCTGTTAATATATAACAAATATATTGACGGAGGAGGTTATTATGAACTGCAATATGGACATCGGCCAAAAAAAGAAACTCCTTAAAACAGATTTTTAACAGATCAACATTGGACGTGCCAATGTTAACCGCCCAACTGACCGAGGGGCGCAGCCGTGTATCGTACGGCACGATTCGCGATAAGATAGACGCGAGATAGGAAAATAAAGGTAAAGGTCCGGGGAAAAAAGTAATAGTTAGATCAATCTTGTGCCAATGAAGCAAGTATCAATCGTTTTAGGAGCGGCAGAGAGTCAAGATTTGATATTACAGGAAAAAGTCTATTATAGTCAGAACATAATACTCTGAAAGGCTCATGCAAGGAATAGTTAGATCTACAATGATTTAAAATTAGGGGAAAATAATTTCTAGTTAAATTTCTAGTTAATTTACTTGGCACAGAAAAGTTTAGCCGACTTATCAAGTCGGGGCAGTCAATATCACCATGTATAAGGTTATAAATAAAGATAGTACCAAGCATCGTTCTACGGTTGGCTAGGGATGGTAAATTAATCAAAAGAAGACTACTAGAAAGATTTGCATCCCAATTTAGGCGCCGTAAAGCAAAAAGAAGGAAGTTTTTTTGTACAGATTCAATACGACCAATATGTATTCCGTATTGTGGACTCCAGACGAGAGACCCATACTCCAGAATCGGACGGACTAGCAAAATAAATAAAGTTTTAGTCAAATAAGGATCATCGAATTCTTTTGACCACCTTTTAATAAATCCAAGCACTCCTCTGGCTTTATTAACCATGGACGAAATGTGATTAGAAAATTTTAGTTTAGGGTCCAAGAGAACGCCAAGATCGTTTACAAGAGTTATTCTATCCAAAGAGCTGCCACTTAACGTGTAAGACGCGTATATCGGATTGGCCCGATAAAAAGTCATCAGCTTGTACTTGGAACCGTTTAAATTTAGTAAATTATCTCGGCACCAGTTTTTGAAAATTATCTAGATCGGATTGCAAGTCTAAATGACAGGAAATGTCCTTATACTGCAGGCACAACTTAACATCATCTGCGTACATAAGTACG